TCTTCCTTCTGAGAAGTGGCTGGTGGGTTTGAACTGTCAGCCTTCTGGTTAGCAGTCACATGCCTTATGCACTATGCCACCAGAGCTCCCATTGAAGGAAAGGTGATGCTTTTCATGCAGTGGCAAAGAACTTGTCTGAAACAGGTTCAAATGTTTGGTGGAAGGTAGAACTTGTACGTGATGAACTTGGATATTTGGCTGAGGAGATTTCTAAGCAAGATCTTAAAGGAACAGCATCGTTTCCCTTTGCTGCTTCCAGTAGAATGTAGGAGGAAAAAGACTTAAAAATGAACTGTGCAGAATGAAACCAGAACTTAAAGATTTGGAAAATTCTGTTGTACAAACTAAGGACATGAGTCCTAGAACTCTCACCAGGGATGTGTTCAAGAGATCAAGCCTGTGACTGATGGATCTATTCAACCACTGCAACAGAAATGAACAGAAACAGTACAAAGTGAAGGAGAGCTGTCTACCTCTCAGAGTTCTCCAGGCAGGAAACAGGCCAGTGGAGTGACTTGGTTGCAAACATCTGTTATCCTCTAAGAAAAGGAAGGCATCCTCTCGGGAACAATTCAGAGATCGGTAGAACTATTGGAGGGGCTGTGACGGGCAGGCTGCTTCCATTTCAAAGGCTGGAACCACCACCTCCATTTCAGAGGAGGAGAGGAACCTTCCTAGATTGCAAAGAGTCACATCTCTACTACTTTAATTCTGGAGTATGGGCTTGCCCTTCAGGTGGGCCACAGGACTTTCAACCAAAGCTGAGGGATGGAGCTGCCATGTCCAAGGCCCAGAAGAATGAAGCCACCCAGGGCTGAGGGGGTGAGGTCACCACTCAGATGGACTACTAAGAGAATGGGGCTGCCCAAAGCCAAGGGAGCAGAGTTGCAGTCCACTTGGACTGGAAGGTGGGACTGATGCCAGCAGGCCTACACGCAGGATCCCAAGAGCATGGCCAACACCTAGTGTCTGGGGTGCACTGTTGCTCAGATAGATGGTCCTAGAGAACAGGGGATTATTTTCAACCCTTGAGAAAGAATGAAATTTACTTTGCTGGGTTTTGGTCTCACTAGGTGCCAGTGAACTCCTCCTTTCCTCTCATTTCTTCCATTTGTAATAGAAATGTCTATCTTGTGTTTGTTCCACCATTGTACTTAGGAAGGAGATAACTTGTATTCTAGGTTTCACACATTCGCTAATGGAGAGGAATTTTGTACCAGGACAGAATTTTTGTACCAGGACAGAATATGCCTAAAGGTTCACCTTTATTTGATTTAGATGATTCAGAAGATGAGATCTTAGACTTGGAGTTGATTCAAGACTTTTGATGCCGGGTACATCACATGAATGTTTTGCACACGGGAAGGACATGAATTTTGAGGTGCCAAAAGGTGGAATGTTAGGGATTGAATTGTGTCCCCCAAAACGTGTTATAAATCCTAATAACCCCTATACTTGTAGATGTAATCCCACCTGGGAGTAGGGTTTCCTTTGTAATGTTAATGAGGCCATATCAGTGTAGGGTATGTTTTAAGCCAATCACCTTTGAGATATAAAAAGAGCTGATTAGGTACAGAGGCAAAAAACAAAACTAAACTAAACTAAAACCTGAACTCCCAAACTCACTGCCTTTTAGTTGATCTCGACTCACAGCGACCCCTCCTTGGGTTTCCGAGACGGTATCTACAGAAGTAGATTGCCCAGTTGTCCTTTTGAGGAGTGGCTGGTGGGTTTGAACCGCCAGCCTTCTGGTTAACAGTCACATACCTTAGGCACTATGCCACCAGAGTGTTCCCAGGTGCAGAGGAGGGGGCATAAAATGAGGGGAAGACAGACATCACATGAAAATCGCCAAGGTTCAGAGGAACAGACACTAGAAAGAGACAAGGACCATCTCCCAGAGCCAACAGAGAAACCCTTCCCCTAGAGCTGGCACCCTGAATTCAGACTTCTAGCCTTCTAAACTGTGAGGAAATATACTTCTGTTTGAGTTATTTCTGTTATAGCAGCACCAAGAAACTAAGGAACCCCACCACCAAAAAGAAACAAAAAAAGCAGGGAACTTGGCACTCTGAGCCTGAGGAACTGCCTCCTGGGCACTCCCAGGCTAAAATCTTTACAGGAACATGTTGCCAGGTCTTTTTCTCCCACAAAGCCAGCCTTTCAATTGGTAACCAAACCTGACATTGAGAGAAACTCCTCTCTAACGGGGATTTTTGCTGCCTCCCTGCTCTGGCTTTTGAAGCCTCACATGGGCTACAGCAGAGATTGGCCTGCTGCTGCCAGGCAGGACAGGGCTTGTGGGGCTGGTTGGTGGGTCTCAGACTTAAAGGCATAGCTCTGGTTCATGCCTAGGAGGGGAGGAAGGACAGGAGAGCCTGAATTACAGAACTCCAGTGTTTGGTGGGAGCTAAAGAGTTAGGCCTGAGTTCTAGCCTGGTTCTGCTACTAATTTACCGCATGACCTTTGGCAAGTCCCTTCCCCTTTCTGAGGCTCAGTTGCCCCATCTTTAAAGTGAGTGGGATCGGGCTAGAAACAGGATAGCAATAGATTTTGTCTCACATGCCCAAACTGACCAATTGCTGTTGACTTCCTGGAGTCCTTCTTGAGCAGCTAGTTGGGCTCAGCAGGAGAGCATGCTGGGATTATTTAGAGAGGTCTGGTGAGTCACTGCATGTGTTTTGTGGTATTATACCCAAGTCCCTTCCTGCTCTGGTATGCTTTGATTCTTCTTTGCTTCCTTCCATCTCCTACGTCACTTCTCCACCGGCATCGTCTGCTTTCTGCTTAAACACCTCCACATTGGGGAACACGTGCCCTTCCCTCAGGCAGAATTGTTAGTTACACTGTTATTCCTTGTGCAGAGTGGAAAGCTGCCTCCCAAACTTGTGCCTGGAAAGATGACATGGGTTCAGTTTTAGGTAGTTGGAGCCTCGGTGATGGGTTTATCATTTCTCCCTTCCAGAGTCGTACAGACCTGCTTCCTGCTCATGTGACAGTGACAGAGAAATAGCATATGTATATCCTTTGAAAAGAGCACTTTAAAAACATTGCCACTTAGTTTATATAGCAACCCTGGGAAGCTGGTATTATCACCTCCATTTTACAGGCGAGGAAGCCAAGGCTCAGCGTTAACAGTGACTGAGGCCGTCTGAGATCAAGCCTGTGCCCTTCTCACCAGACGCTGTCCTCACCCCAGCCCCAGCCTCTGTGCTTCTGGTTTCCCCCGCAAGCCCATGGCCTCCTCTTCTCTCGCCCTTCACAGGTTTCCATGTGATCCCCACTATCTCCAGCATCGTCCCCGAGAGCTGCCTGCTGATCGTGGTGGGGCTGCTAGTGGGGGGCCTGATCAAGGGCGTGGGCGAGAAGCCCCCGCTCCTGCAGTCAGACATCTTCTTCCTCTTCCTGCTGCCGCCCATCATCCTGGACGCGGGCTATTTCCTACCGCTGCGGCAGTTCACGGAGAACCTGGGCACCATCCTGATCTTCGCCGTGGTCGGCACGCTGTGGAATGCCTTCTTCCTGGGCGGCCTCATGTACGCCGTGTGTCTGGTGGGCGGCGAACAGATCAACAACATCGGCCTGCTGGACAACCTGCTCTTCGGCAGCATCATCTCGGCCGTGGACCCTGTGGCCGTGCTTGCCGTCTTTGAGGAGATCCACATCAACGAGCTGCTGCATATCCTCGTCTTCGGGGAGTCCCTGCTCAATGACGCCGTCACTGTGGTGAGGGGGTAGGGGCCGCACCGTGTATACACGGAGCATAGACCTGAATCCCGGTTCAGGGGTGTGTCCCACAAGAACAGCAGTTTAAGCAGCTTATGTGTGTCCCTGCTTGCTGTGTGCCAGGTACCACGCTGAGCACTTTAATGTGAGTTATCTCGTTTAATCCATTCTCATTTATGACAACCCTAGGAGGCACTTCTTATTCCCATTTCACAGAGGAGGAAACAAGCCCAAAGAAGTTAAATCACTTGCTAGAATATAGTGGAACCAAGATGTGAACCCCAGGTCTGTCAGGGCCCAAGGCCTGAGCTCTTGGCCTTACCAGGTCATATGTTCTCTCCCTGACTCTCAAGGTGATATAATCTTAGGCAAATTACTTATCCTTGCTGTGCCTCAGTTTTCCCTTTATAGATCATTTGATCTTTGAAGAACCTTTCAGCTCTCATGTTGTCTATGTCTTAAGTTAGAGTTTGGTTTGAGCAGTATTTTGGGGCAGGGATTGTGGAAAGGGCTTGGTCCTCAAAGCCTCCAGAGGTGATAAGTAAAATGAATTGTCCTGGGTTGGCCACTTGCTTGCTGTGTGACCTTAGGCAAGTGACTATACCTCTCTGGGCTTCACCTTCCTCAGCTGCAAAGTGGCAGAGTAGTTAGTGCCTTCCTCACAGGATCTAGTAGGACAGCCAGCTCCATTGGAAAGGCTGTACATAGTAGACACTGTATATATCTGCATATAGCCTTCCCCTCAGCCACTTTCCTCAGGAAACAGAGATGTGTGCATGCATGCTCACATCCTATTGTGAAAACACTCACCACTCCTCTGCTAGCTGGACCCTCAGAGAGCAGCTGCACACACAGGAAAACACAAGAACATGTGTGCATACCCATTCCATGCTCATATGTGTGCACACGCTCCTTCCTCCCACCCCTTCTCTCCACACCTTCAGGAAGCAATACCTCAAACTGGAGACAGAGTGGTGCTCAGCTGCAACACCTTGGCTTCCTCTTCCTCCCCTGATACCGCCCCCCACCCCCGCACCGACTTCCCGTGGGGCTATGGGCAGAGCATCAGTCTGCCCTCAACAGGCACAGCTGGGCCATGGTCTCTTCTAGCACCAGCTCTTGCCCCAGGTTGGCACAGGAGCCTCAGTTTCCCTATGTGTAATATAGGGATTTTGGTACCCAGCCTGTCATTTTCCTGGGGTTTTGAGAGGAGTTTCACACACTAACGTCTGTGAAACCACCGTGAAAGCTGCCAAAACTGAAACCCTCCTCAGTGGGGTGTTGGAGTTCTGGTTGTGTCAGGTGGAGACCTTAGCTCCAGGCTTGTGGCTGTGCCTCTCAAAGGTGGCAGCAGTGGTGGTAGTAATCACTGGGGTTTATTGAGTGCTTCCAGTGTCTGAATGTGTGTTGCCTCTTCCAGTCTGTACAGTAAGGAGCTCTGGTGGGGTAGTGGGTAAAGCATTAGGCTGCTAACCAGAAGGTCAGTGGTTCAAACCCTACAGCTGCTCCATGGGAGGATGATGAGACAATCTACTTCTGTGAAAATGCACAGCCTTGGAAACCCAGTGGGGGTCACTATAAGTCAGAATCGACTGATGGCAGAGGGTTTGGTTTTTTTTTTTTTTCAATCTGCACAGTAACTTCATGAGGTTGGCACTATCGTTGCCTGCAGTTTTTCCAGATGAGGAAACTGAGGCACTGAAAGCCTAAGTTGTTCTCCCGAGGTCACAATAGCTGTTCAGTGATATAGCCGGCATTCAGATCCATGTAGTCTGTCCTGCCTCAGAGTCCCCAGCAACTATAGTGCTAGGCCAGAAAAGAGGGTCTCACTCGACGCCCATGCCATCGGCTCAAGTGGTGGGCCATGAGGCCCCATGAACTCCCTCAGGCCAGGAGTGAGTTAAGGTAGCCCAGGACTGAGAGGACACCTGCTAAGGAGGCCATCTGCCCCAGAGCCCTGCCCTGTCTTTCAGACTCCTGTGGCCCAGGCAGCCCCACTTCCTGCCTGGCCTGAGTCAGGCTCTCTTTTTAGCTCTTGGCATGGGTATAAGCACCCCATTTCCCAGACAGTAAAGCTTCGTGAGCTCAGGCTTTTGCCCTGGAATAGGTCACCTTCCACCCCCCACCCCAGTGCCACGTTGACTTTGCCTGCAGATGCTTTCTAGGTACTGGAGGTTTTGAGGGCTTCCTCTCAGGGATTCTCAGGACCTTGTCCCCCTTCCTCCTCTCCAAGTTGGAAGCTCCCCAGCTGGTTTTCTGGCTAAACTGTGTAGGACTGGACTGGACTGTATTGGACTGGACTGGACTGGACTTGGAGTAGAACAGCCAGCCAGAAAGCCCACTAGTAGTGGGCTGAACTTCAAAGCTGAGCTTTCTGGGGAGGCCCCAGGCTACTGCTGTCAGGGAACAGGTTTTCCTGTTTCCCTGCTGGGGGCCCTCTAGCCAGTGGCTTCACCACTCTGTGTCTCAGTTTACAAGGGCTTGTAACTACCTCACAAGGTGGTTGTTTTGGTTACTTTGTGCATATCTAACAGAAAATACCACAAATAGGATGACTTTAACAAACAGGAATTCATTCTTGTACAGTTTTGGAGACTAGAAGTCTGAGTTCAAAGTGCCAAGCTCTAGGGGCGGGGTGAAAGTCCCTCGACCTTGGGCTTCAGCTCTGCCTCTTGCTCCTGGCCCGCTGGAGCTCGAGATGGTTCTTCACTCAGGCAGCTGCTGGCTGCTGAAGCTGACAAACTCAAGTCGACAAATAAAATGGCACAGTCCCAATATTACCACACAACATGGCAGGCCACTAGTCCAAGTCCAGAGATAGTCCCAGGATCAGCAGACAGCATAACAGGCTGCTGAATGAAGACTCAACTACATGCAGGGTCCAAGTGTACCAAAAAGCTACAGACCATTCCTAAAGCTTTCCTTATGTACTGGAAGCAGAGTACATCTCTAAAGCAGCTATTCAGCTGCTCACAGCAGATTTCCACCATGGAGTTGATTACCAGTCTCATCCTGGGGAATAACTACATCCAACTGCCCAGCCACTCAAAACCAGCCTCAGCCAAGTTGATGTATAACCTTAACTACCGTAATGGTTGTTGGTGTTGACTAGGACATCCATCATCAAGGGGCTTGACAATGCATAAGGCACCACTTACATGTCTGACAGTAGTGTCACAATTAGGCAGACCGTTAACAGTACCAGCAGTAGCTAACACTGCATCGGACACTGTTCTCAGCACTTTATAAACTAATTCAGTCCTCACAACAGCCCTTGGAAATTGGTACTGTGACATACCTGCTTTATAGATTGGGAAACTGAGACACAGGGAGGTTAAGTAACTCGTCCTAGGTCTACAGCTGGCAAATGGCAGAGCCAGAAGTCCAGCCCAAACAGTTAGGCTTCAGAGTCTGTGCTTTGAACCAGCACATCCCGCTGCCAGCCCAAATTTAGGCCCGCTGGCCACCAGGATGGGTTTTAAGGTCTACTCAGCACTAGGGTGACTCTGCTACCACATGGCCTTTTCTTGGGTCTATGGCCAGTGGAAGGGAAGGGATCCCCCTGGGTGGGCCCCAGGGAGCCTTGGGGCCAGGGTGGCTGCCCTCCCACTGACCAGTCTGCACGCCCTCTCCAGGTCCTGTACCACCTCTTTGAGGAGTTTGCCAACTATGACCGCATAGGCATCGTGGACATCATCCTCGGCTTCCTCAGCTTCTTCGTGGTGGCCCTGGGCGGGGTGTTTGTGGGCGTGGTCTATGGGGTCATTGCAGCCTTCACCTCTCGATTCACCTCCCATATCCGTGTCATCGAGCCGCTCTTCGTCTTCCTGTACAGCTACATGGCCTATCTGTCAGCCGAGCTATTCCACCTGTCAGGCATCATGGCGTGAGTCCTGGGCGCTATAGGCAGCAAGGGTTTGGTGGGGCTGCCAGCTTGGATTCCTCAAGCTTGTAGGGTCATGAGGAACACCCCTGGACCCAGCTCCAGCTCCAGCTGTAGACCCTGCTTGGAAGCCATTTCAATGGCCAGGGCCATCAGAAGAGGCTTCCAGAAGAAGAACCCTTCTCCTGGGCTTTGTGGGGTTCAGAGGCTCTGGAGAGGACAGTTGTGACTGGGAACAAATGAGACAGGAATGGCCTGCATTAGGGCAAGCCCAGGGGATGGAAGGACAGAAGCTGAGACTGTCCCTGGAAGTCACTGAGTTTAAAATTTTGGAAACTCTCATCCCTGTTAGGAGCTCTGGTAGCATAGTGGCTAAAGCACTTGACTGCTAACCAGAAGGCTGGCGGTTCAAACCCACCAGCCACTCCTCGGAAGGAAGGTTGGGCAATCTACTTCCATAGTGATAGTGCCTCGGAAACCCAAGGAGGGGTCGCTATGAGTCGGGATCGACTCGACAGCACATAATAACAACAACAACTCATCCCTGTTATTTCTTCCCTTCATTCGTCTCAAAGGGCGTCCCTTGATTGTAGCTGAACACAGACATGAGCATTCACTCCACCCTTAACACCCCTCATGGTGTTCCCTCAAGGAAGCCAAGAGGCTTCCTTTGACTTCCTTTGAGGCCAGAAGTCTCACAGGCAGAGTCCTAGAGGTCCTGAGGCCTCAGCTGGGTCTTGAAGTAAGGGTAGTAGGCTCTGGATAAGCCAAGGTGCCAAGGTGTTCCCAACAGAGAGGACGACACTGAAAGTGCAGAGCTGGGGCAAACCTGGAGGACAGGGGCAATAGCAGGAGCAGAGCCCAGGTGTGGGCACCAGGTAGAGGGCTTGGGCTGCTGCTTGCAACAAAACTCCCTGCTAGACCCTGAGCACAACTCCCGTGGGGATCCGCATGTGTTGAGGGGACCACCTCACTCAAGAGGAGTAAACCCAAGAGACCACAGACATGTAATTGACACCCATTGGGCAGAGAGGTGGTGGGACCTAGGGGGGAAGGCATGGGCTTTGGAGTTAGGCAGACCTTAGTTTGTGTCTGAAGGTGATTCATTTCTTCAAGTCTCATATTGCTTATCCGAAAAATGTAATATGCCTGCGCCTATAGGGTTGACAGGAGGGTCGAGCAAGAGCAGGTGTGTGGAGTACTTGGGGGACATCTGAGTCACAGAGAAGTGGAGCTGTAAATGGGCCTCTGTTCATCGTGGCACCATCAGCCTGCCTGTGGGAGGACACAGCTGTCTCTAAACCTCCCTCTCCTCCCGCCCCGCCCCCAGACTCATCGCCTCGGGAGTGGTGATGCGCCCCTACGTGGAAGCCAACATCTCTCACAAATCCCACACGACCATCAAGTACTTTCTGAAGATGTGGAGCAGCGTCAGTGAGACCCTCATCTTCATATTCCTTGGGGTCTCCACCGTGGCTGGCTCTCATCACTGGAACTGGACCTTTGTCATCAGCACTCTGCTCTTCTGTCTCATCGCCCGAGTGCTGGGTGAGGCTCCAGGCTAGGGACCGGGAGGGGTGCGGGGCCGGGGGGCTGCTTCCGGCTCAGCTGGACAGAAGGGGTTTCCCTAGTTCCTTTTCTGTGGTATGAATCTCATGATGGGCCCATAAGGGGAGAAAAGCCAGTGCTCATGGAGGGTCTCTGAGGAGATGAGTCATGGTGTATCAGGAGGAAGGGGCCTCAGAGGCTCTCTGATTCTGAGCTTGTTGGTTTTTGAGGAGGGGCCTGAGGCCCCCAGAGCCCAGGGCTGTGACTCTGTGCTGGGTGTTCTCTATATTGCCTTGTTGCACACCTGCCTTCAGCTCTTACAGACATGCCAGCTCAGGGGAGTGGGCAAGGCTGGACCAGGCCTGGGCTCCTCGGGTTCACTTCACATTTCCCAGACCCCTCAGCTTAGTGATGCTGTCCTTTCCTCTCTCGGGATCTCAGTTACCTCCTCTCTACAATGAGGAGTTAGGGCTGTGGGCCCCAAGCCTGGCTGGAAATCACATTTACTTGGTGCACTTTTTAAAAACATTCCTCGGCCTTATTCTCCAAGATTCTGGTTCTGTGGGTTGAGGTTGGACCCAGGGCTCTGCATTTTTAAAGAATTTTTTATTATGGAAAATTTCAGACACAGAAGAATGGAGAGAATATGGTAAGGAGCTTCCATGTACTCATCACATTTGATAAGTCCCAACTTGTGGCTGATCTTGTTTTCTCTCTCTGCCTTCCCCCACCTGCAGCCACTGGAGGCCTGTCTGATTCCTCTGAATTTGGGGAAATGTTAGACTGTGTGGCCTCCTTAAGGACCACCTGGCTCTTGGATTGAGGTGTTCAGAGCACCCTGGGCTGACGGACCCAGGAAGCGAGTGAATAAGCTGGGTGGGCTTAGTAGTGGAGGCTTCCTGGACAGGCAGAGGAGTTGCAGGTGCAGGAGTCAGGAGGGGCTGAGGACAGGCTGACTCCTCGTGTCCCGCCTCCCTGGCAGGTGTGTTGGGCTTGACCTGGTTCATCAACAAGTTCCGCATAGTGAAGCTGACACCTAAAGACCAGTTCATCATCGCCTACGGGGGCCTACGCGGGGCCATTGCCTTCTCCCTGGGCTACCTCCTGGACAAGAAGCACTTCCCCATGTGTGACCTCTTCCTCACTGCCATCATCACAGTCATCTTCTTCACCGTCTTTGTGCAGGTGGTGGGCCAGGGTGCAGCCGGTCCTTGCCTTGGGGACCCTGACTCTTAAGTCCTTGAGAAGAAAGTGCATGACCCAAAAGGGGGCCCTGGGTTTGAGTCCCAGCGCAACCCTCAACTTGTTGTGTGACCTTGGGCAAGCCAGTCCCCCTTTCTGGGTCTCAGTTTCCTTAGCTGTAAAGTGGGAATTGTGATAATGAATCATGGAAAAGTGGCAGGTCAAAATGTAAAGCAGTAAGAATGCTGCCCAACTCAGACTAGGAACCCGGGAAACATGAAGAGAAGTGGGTGAGAGTCAGCGGGCCTGTGATCTGACTTTGCCAGCAACTCATTGCAGGCCTTAGGCAAATGACTTGATATCTTGAATCTCAGCCTCTGCATCTGTAAGATAGGAATGGTAGGACAGTGTGGGGACTGCAGAGGCCACTCAGAGGCCCAGCAGTAAGAGAGCTGGATTCAGCCCCAGCTCTTCTCTGTGTGTGGTCCTGAAAGACTTGCCCATTAGGTCTAAGTTTTGCATCTATAACATGAGACTGTGCTAGATGACCCCTAAGAATCTCTGCAGCCTACTGCTTTGGGATTTCTGTGCATGTAATGACCCAGGCTTAGCCCAGCTTCCTCCCCACCCCCAACCAAAGTCCCCAAGAAGCTCAGCCTGGGGTCTTGTACATTGTCCCACCGTACCTGTGACCTTGGAAAAGGCAGACACACCCTCTCTGGGCCTCCTTGTCTCTACCATCCCTTCCTTCTTTCCTGGACACCAACCTTCCAATGCCCTCGACAGCAATCATTTTTGCCTTCTCATGAGGAAAAAATGTAGAGGAAACCTCATGGGACTGAGTTTCTTTTCTGTCCTTTAAAAGAAAGAGGGCTGCCTCTTTTGTCTTGCTTTCTTTAAAAATACATTATCAGCTTGACTTTGAAATAGTGTATGCCAATGGTTTTCCAAACCCACTTTCATAGAAGGCAGCGTTGGGGTGGGACCTTCCTCAGAGCCAGGAGGCCTGGGTTTGAATTCTGACTCTGCTTCCTTCTGTAGGACCTTAGAAAGTTACTCGCTTGAGCCTTGGTTTTCTCATCTGCAAAATGGGACAATGAAAGGACCTGCCTCTTAGGGTTATTGTGGCTATTGGAGAGTTACTGTGGATATTGAAGAATTAAGACTAGGCAGATACTTACACCTGTGTCTGGCACATAGTGGGTTATTACTAGGTCTTCTCAGCAGTCCTGTGAGGTAGGTAGAGCAGAGATGGTTCCTAAGTCTGACTTCCTTAGGGTTGCAGAGTGAGTTTTTGATGGAGACTACATTTGACCCAGGGCCCTCTGTGACCTCTAGCTCAGGCTAAATGACTGGTGTGAGGGTCATTCTGCTGGTTGGGCTGTCAAGCCTCTGGCTGCATCTTTATAAGGAAGCAGGCTTTAAGGACATACCTTTATGTGAGCCATGCAGTAGGGTTGGAGAGTTCTAACACCTTTGGGTTCTGGGAGATTGAGAGCCTCAGAGCAGAGAGGGCCTCCCAGCTTCAGAGACCCTGGGAAGGTGGGAGGCTCTGCGGCCTCTTTCCAGGGTAGCAGAACTGGAGTTCCTTACATCAGCCTGCCCCCTAGGGTATGACCATTCGGCCCCTGGTAGACCTGTTGGCTGTGAAGAAAAAGCAAGAAACAAAACGGTCCATCAATGAGGAGATCCATACACAGGTACTGGAGGCTGGGTCTGGATTCAAGAACTCCTTGATGCAGGAGAAGGCTCAGGCTGGTAGCATCTAGGCTTCCTGTCTATGCCCTCAGCCCCCTCTTCCCTTACCCCGTACTGGGCCCCTTGAGGCCACATGACCACTTTCACCAGGGTCTAGCCATAGGAGAAAGAAAGCATGGTGTGAGCAGCTGGGAGCCTGAAAAGGGCGCTGCCTCTTGATGGGACCTATCCCAGGCAGTTGGGCACAGGTGGGTTCAGAAATGGGAAGGAGGGAGTGCTTAGCAATGGCCAGTGGCAGAGGATTTGAGTTACAAGTGAGGTGTTAACGCCACCTACTGGTTACTTCTGGAACTACAAGGCTGGACTGAGCAAAGCTGTAGCTAGAGTGGGAAGTTGACGTGAGGAGTACCTGTTCTGAGGTCTTAGAAAGGGAGGGAACCCAATTGTGAGGATTGACCTGGCCCTGGGCCCATTTCAGTTCCTGGACCACCTTCTGACAGGCATCGAGGACATCTGTGGCCACTACGGCCATCATCACTGGAAGGACAAGTAGGTGGCAGTCCTGGTGGGCAGGTGGGAGGGGAGGGTCAGGTAAGGGTCTCCTGGGGTCTGGGCATCTCCCCACCCTTAGGCTCTGGCTCCATCCATCTCCTTCCTCCTCTGTCCAGGCTCAACCGGTTTAATAAGAAGTATGTGAAGAAGTGTCTGATAGCTGGTGAGCGCTCCAAAGAGCCCCAGCTCATTGCCTTCTACCACAAGATGGAGATGAAGCAGGCTATCGAGCTGGTAGAAAGCGGGGGCATGGGGAAGATCCCCTCCGCCGTCTCCACCGTCTCCATGCAGTGAGTGCCAGTGGCCAGTGCGGGCAGCTGCAGCACCCATCCATCAGCCCCTCCAGCCCAGCCTGGAACAGGGCCCCCCGGGGCAGCAGTGAGCAAGACACCACTGTCATCTGTCAGGGTGGTGGGAGAGTTGCAGAGCCACACTGAAGGCCTGAGGCCTGCTGACCCACCCCAGGCATCCTTAGGGCTGCCTGCCTTCTGGTCCTACCTAGCAGGCACCAGGGTCACAAGAATATTCTTGGAGGTCTAACATATGCCCTGTTGTTCCAGGAATATCCACCCTAAGGCCCTGCCTGCTGAGCGCATCCTGCCAGCCCTGTCCAAGGACAAGGAGGAGGAGATTCGGAAAATCCTGAGGAACAACTTGCAGAAGACCAGGCAGCGGGTGAGGCCTGCTCCAGGCCCGGCTCCCCACCCATGGAGCTAGCCTCTGCCTGACTGGAGAATCCCTCTGCCCCCTCCCTCCTGCACAAGTCCCTCTGCTCTGCTCCGGAGCCTCAGGCCCCAGCCTGCTCCATACCCATGCCCACAACCTTCCAGCCCCTGGCCCTTCTAGGCCCAGCTGCTGTACCCTGCCCTGACAAGCTGTCCCTCCCACAGCTGCGGTCCTACAACAGACACACCCTCGTGGCAGACCCCTATGAGGAGGCCTGGAACCAGATGCTTCTCCGGAGGCAGAAGGCCCGGCAGCTGGAGCAGAAGGTGTGTGTGGGACTGAAGCTGGCTCCTGCCTTTCTCTGGGAATCTGGGCTCTTCTTTCCATATCCCTTCTGTCAGCACCAAGCCCTTTTGGGCAGAGGGCCACGCCAGTCTTTTCCTGGCCGCCTCTGCTTATGGATGCTAAGCCCCTGGTTGGCTCCAGGGAGCCCAGGCCCTGCCTCCATCCCATTCATAGCTCCAGGACCTCTTCATTATCTCCTGAGGGCTGAGCTAGAAGAGCTTGCCCATGTGCCCTGTCCAGCTCTCTCATTCACCAATGAAAAGACTGAGGCCCAGCAGGAAGGGACCTGCCCAAGAGCAGGCTGTGTGTGCTTTCATTCAGGAAACATTTGTTGAGTGTTTCCTGAGTGACAACATTGGCATGGCCTCTGGAGGTCCGGCAGTGAATCATCCCAGTCCCTCCCCTTAACAGAATTTCTCATGCAGTGGTCTAGGTGGGAGAGGGAGAGGGTATGGGGCCAGAGCATGTGGGCCAGACAGGTGGTCAGGGTAAGCTCAGGAGCAAGAGCCCAGGTGAAGGGAACGTGGGCAAGGGATGTCCAAGAAGCAGGAAGGGCATGAGCCTATGTCCCCAGTCACAGAACATGGCTGGTCCTAGAGACCGAGGAGATTGGGTTCAAGGAATCTTGTGAGTAGGGCTTTATCCTAAGGGTATGGGAAGCCATGGGGGTTCTAAGCAAAGGAGGGAAATGGATGAGGATGGTGGCAGATGAGACAAGAGGAGTACGTAGATTCAAGGGACATTTAAAAGGTGGTACTGGCAAGACTTGGTCACCTGTGTGAGGTGGGCCGAGGGGAGAGGAGTCGGGGGTCATACCCAGGCTTCTGATTGGGGCAGTTGGGAGTAATGGGGTCATTGGCTGCTTAGGGGATGTGGAAGAAGGAGTAACAAGGTTTTGAGGGAAGTTAACGAGCGGAGCTCAATGCTGCCATGTTAGATTTGAGGTGTCTGTGGCCTTGCAAGGTGGTGCAGTGGTTAAGTGCTTGGCTGCTAACCCAAAAGTCAGCAGTTCAAACCCACTAGCCACTCCACAGGAGCGGCAGTCTGCTTTCATAAAGATTTACAGCCTTGGAAACTCTATGGGGCAGTTCTACTCTGTCCTGTCAGATCACTGTGAGTCAGAATTGGCTGGATAACAGTGGGTTTGGTTTGGTTTGGTTTGGTAGCCTTCTAAGCACAGGAAGTTGACTACCGAGTTGCTTTTCTGGGACTGGAACCTGGGGGCAGCTGAGACTGGGGATGTAGGAGGGGCAAGGCAGGTGCCCAGGGAGAGCCTGGGACGAGCCCTCAGGAAGCCCTAATATTTAAGGCGCAGGTGCAGGAAGGGAAAGAGTCTAATGAAGAACAACCAGTGAGGTAGCAGGCACCCCCAAGAAGGTACCCTGTGCAGAAACCTAGGGGGAAGAACACCCCAAAAGAGGGTGAGGATGCAGCTCCGGTGCTGTCCAGAAGGGTTTCTACCGCCTTGCTGCCCCCACTAACCCTGTCTGCTCTTTGTCTTTCAGATCAATAACTACCTGACAGTGCCGGCCCACAAGCTGGACTCACCCACCATGTCTCGGGCCCGTATCGGCTCAGGTAAGGCAGGTGGGAGTACCCAGAGAAGGTCCTTAGGCTGGACCCACAGTGTCACCCCATCCTGAGGCTGAGGCCCCAACAGGCACAGGCCTCAGCCAGCCAGCAGGGAGGATGGGCTTCTGCCTCCTCGACCTCCTCAGGGCCTCTTCCCAAGCTAGGGGCTTTCCAATCAGGTGGAGTTGGGAGTTTACAGCAGGGGGCAGAATGGCCCTGTTGTCATCCCCAGGGACAGGGGTGCTCCTCACCATCAGGCTGTGGATGCAGACCTGTAGACGAGGGGTTCACACCATTAGGATCTCTAGCACATGTCAGGGAAACGTGGGCCAACCTTCTCCAGGCCTGGGCCCTGGGGCAGACAGTCAGGAAGGAGACTGAGTTCTTCATCTGAGAAGGAGCACTCCATGGGTGACCCTGATCTGAGGAGGGGAAAGCAGTCCTACCTTTGAGATCCTGTCTGGTGGGAAGAAGGTCTATGGAGAAGTCATTAGAAGCATCTTGGGACCACCGCGTTCACAGGGAGGTTCTGTAGAGTGGCCGACCGGTTGAGGGGAGCCTTCTTGCAGGTGGGGCGCAGGCTGGGCAGAGCTTGTGGGCAGAACCCATCCTATGCCTCACCCTCCTTGATCCCTAGACCCACTGGCCTATGAGCCAAAGGCAGACCTGCCTGTTATCACCATCGACCCAGCCTCCCCGCAGTCGCCCGAGTCTGTGGACCTGGTGAATGAGGAGCTGAAGGGCAACGTCCTGGGCCTGAGCCGGGATCCGGGAAGCATTGCTGAGGACAACGAGGAGGATGATGGCATTGTAATGCGGACCAAGGAGCCCTCATCCCCAGGCACAGATGATGTCTTCACCCCTGGGCCGAATGACAGTCCCAGCTCCCAGAGAATACAGCGCTGCCTCAGTGATCCAGGCCCCCATCCTGAGCCTGGGGAGGGAGAGCCCTTCATCCCCAAGGGGCAGTAACACTGGGGCCAGTGAGCAGCGGCCGGCCTGCCACAGACTCTCCCACCAGAGCAAGAGCTGCTGGGGAGCTAGCGGGGGCTGCCCTTGCCCTGCCTGACCTAGGCTGGCCCTGCCCTGTCCCCACCGCATGGCAGCTGGGCCCACAGCCCCCACTGCAGCATGGCTTCCCCTGGCTTCCTGGGAAGCATCCTCCCACCCCCAGAACTGCCTTCCCAATCCATTTGGCAGAACTGCTGGTGCTGGTGAGGCAGTCCCTGCCCCTGTGCCCACTCCGGGTCCAGGCGCTCTCCCACACCCAGACTAGGGGCCTCTGAGAGTTTTCCGGGCCTCAGTGTCTCCTCCCTACCCCCTACCACTCCACCAGCCTCCTCATTCAAGCCAATCTTAGTTTCTGACCAAAGAGCCTCTGGCTCAGCCTTGTCCCACCCAGGAAGAGAAGGGGCCGAGGCCGCCCTTGACCTGGGCCAGGTCCTCCTTCATGGGCAAACACTAGGGGCACTGGACATGTGGCCGAGTGAAGGATTAGTGTGACCCATAGCAGTGCTGCCCTACTCCTGCCAGCTCTGTCACCTGGCCAGCTATCCCATAGCTCCTCACTCACTGAGGGCAGCCCTGAGCTCTGGCTGGAGCTGGGGTGCCCAGGACAGTGATGGGACTAACTCAAGAGCTCTCCCCTGTACTCCTGCAGATGCCCTGGGTTCTGCAGGGGCTGCTGCCAGGGGAGGGGCCTCCAGAACATCCAGCCTTTCTGTTTTGTTTGGTCTCACCTCCGTATGACTTTGTTTGCACAGAGGGCACTCCTATTTTTTTAGACATTTTTACAGCCTTGCCTGAGCAGAGCTTTCCCTCTAACTCTCTCCTCACCTATGCCTGTGTGTTGAGCACCCGCCCCCAAATCAGTCGTCTGCCTCCCGGGCTCTCCACTGTGGCCCAAACGGCTCTGACTTCAAAGTGACCTCCCCACCCCCATAAATTATGATTCTCTACCATTTTACACATGCTGGCCTTCCAGCACCTTCTTTGTTCTGGGACCTCTTCTTTGCCGCTTTCTTCTACCCCTGGGTTAGCTCCTGGGATTCTCCCTCTTAAGTGCACCCACACCTAGCTTTCTGTGGAGCCCAATCCTTGGGGGAGATGTCCTCCCCTGAGAATCTGCCTCAGCCAGGGCTGGTGGGTTGGGCAGAGTCCTGGGCCCACTGAGGAGTTTGCCCACCACACACACTCCCTGCCCGACCTATAGGCCCAGGCCTGTTGGTGGCTGCCCTTCCTCCCCAGGGCACTCCCATCCCAGGATCGTGCAATAGTCCAAGTGTCCCTCTTCCCAGTGAATTGGGCAGTGGGTCCACCCCTCTCCCTGCAAGTGCTGTTTTGGGCAGAAGTCACTGTGCAAGGGTGACATCGACAACCATGTACAAAGCCACCGCAGCTGCTGCCGCTCTGCCACCTGTACAGAAGAAACGGAATCTTTTTCATATTCTAATAAATCAGTGTGAGTTTTTAATGGCGTTGAGGACTGCTTCCTGGGAGCCAGGGGCTTTGGGGAGGAAGGGGGCCTGGGGGCCTGAAGTACTTAGCTCAGTGGCTGGCGCAGAGGAACACTTAGTGAATGTCAGCTGTTGGGGTGGTTATCACCATGTGCCAGGCTCCAGAGATGAAGCAGTGAGCAAAGCAACATGCTCCCTGCCCTTAGGAGCTTTCAATCTAGCAGAGGAGAGCAACAGTCATCAAACAGTATCATCAAATGTATGCAGTATTTAAAGGAAAAGTGCAGTGTACAATAGGGGTAGGGGAGAAGGAGGACTTTCCTGAGTAAATAATATCTTAGGAGAGGCCTAAAGGATAGACCAAGGTTAACTACATTAAGAAGATTCTCCAGAGAGTTCCCAAGTAATCCATACTGGGAGCTGTGTGCCTGCAGGCACTAGGATCTGAGAACTGGCAAATGTGGCTGGGTCAGAGAGTGAGGCAGCACTGGGGCTTTGCAGTCCTTGGTTGAGATTTTGATCTTTATACTAAAGACATTGGAAAGTCATTGAAATCTCTGGGCATGTGTTCTTGCCTGTAAAATGGGGACAAAACCCTTGGGTGAAATATGCTTAGGTGTGTCATGGTGAAGTTCAGCACGGTTGTGGACCTAGTGCGCTTAGTTAAATTGGGTTGGACCCCTGTGGTGCATTTCCAGAAGCTGATCACCAGGGGGCAGTGAGGCCTCAGTACATACTCCAGGTTCCCTTGGCAGCTGGGCTACCCTGGAACGCAATGCCTTTGCCCTGTCTAGAGCCTGTGTACAGAGCTGGCTTGACTTACAAAATCTGAAGTGGGCAGTGCCAAAAGGATTAGGGAAGGACTACACTCGAGGGCACATAACAACAACAACAACAACACTGCCCATTCCTATCAATTGCTACCCCAGCAGGAGGTAAAAAGATAGCAAAGAACCTTCAAGTAAGGAATTACTTGCAGAAGTGTGAGCAGAGTTAAGGGAACCTACTGAGATGGAACCTAGTGGAGCTTACACTATATTACAGACTTGAAAGGTAAGGAAGAAGGAGCTGTTACAGGTGAGAGCTGAAACTTTGGGAGAGGGACTGTCCAACAAGAGCTGTGGCCATAAGTGGAACAAAGCCCCTGCCCAGTAAGGAGCCAGGGGAATACATAGTCTCACTTCTTTGATCCTGATGGTGACTCCCATTGGCCAAACCCAACTGGTAGCCAGAGGGAAATGAAGCCCCAAGGTGAAGTCCATGTAGGCCAGACTGCTAGTGAATGGAGCAGGTGGAGAGAGGATTTAAGGGAGAAGCAGGATACCCAGCAGAGCCTTTCCTTTGCCCCCTCAGCATATATTCTTATCATTGGGTGAAAAACGCATGTCCCCACCAGGGGGATGCAATCACCATATCCTTGAGGGGTGGTGTCAATTCAGTCAAACTCTGGAGGACGTGTTCCTCCTCAGGGGAGTAGGGCCTCCAAACCCAGTGAACACAAAGTTGAGGGACTGGAAAGGAAAAATTCTTTCATTAGATTATTTGGAATAATTGTGAGAGGAGCCGTTCCCATCTCTACCCCTTGGTCCCTGGACCCATGCATTTTAGCTGCAAGAGAGACAGCATCGTGTATCAGCCATTGATTTCAAGCATGTACTGCATCCTGCCCATCAACAGCCCAACCTTGCAGGGTGTTGTCTCCTGGCTGGAGCTATAATGTGCCTTCAGTGGGCTATTCTGTCAGGTGCTTGTAGTGACAAGGTACATTATAAGACCAGTGCATTCCATGGGTGAGAACCAGTGCTGTATGTCTTCACCATAAAATGAATTATTGGTTGTGGGTAGGCCGTGTGGGGGATGACATAGTGATAAATAACACGTTTGGTGAAGTCTAGAAGTGGCACTGGCAGCAACATTGCAGGTAGAGAGGACAAATCCTTATCAGAAGTCCTTATTTATTGCCATGACGACAAATAACTGAAAAACAGGGTCAGAGTGTAATCAGCCTGCCAGTAAGAGGCTAGCTGGTCCCCTAGGGCAGTGGTTCTCAAACATTTTGGTTTCAGGAGCCCTGTACACTCTTAAAAATTATTGAGGATTCCAAAGGTTTTGGTTTTGGAGATTATATCTGTTGATGTTTTACTGAATTAGCAATTAAAGTTTTAAAATATTAATTTATTTAAAGACAATAAACCCATTCCATACTATCAAGTCAATTCCATGCCGTCGAGTCAATTCTGACTCATAGTGACCCTACAGGACGAAGTAGAACTACCCCCATAGGTTTTCTAAAGCTGCAATCTCTATGGAAGCAGGCTGCCCTTTCTGTCTCCCATGGAGTGGCTGGTGGATTTGAACTGTTGACCTTTCAGTTAGCAGCTGGCCACTTAACCACTACACCACCAAGATGCCCACCCATTATGTGTTGATATAAATATAGCATTTTTATGAAAAATAACTTTTTCAAAACAAAAATGGTGAGAAGAGTGGCGCTATTTGACATTTTTGCGAATCTCTTTGAAGTCTGGCTTCATAGACAGATTCTCAAATCTGCTTCAGTGTTTAGTCTGATGTACACACATCACGTAGCCTCTGGATATTCCACTATACACTAGTGAGAAAGTGATAGTGAAAAAGACAAATAATGTCTTAGTATTAATATAAAAATTGTTTGGGCCTCACCAAAAATAATAGCAAAACCCGTTGCCATCAAGCCCACCCCGACTCACGGCAACCCCGTGCGTGTGGAGGGGAACTGTGCTCCACAGGGTCTCAATGGCTGGTTTGTTGGAAGTAGATCTCCAGGGCCTTCTCCCAAGGTGCCTCTAGTTGAACTCAAAGTACTTTTGTTTCCAGCCAAGCACTTCAGCAATTTGTGCCACCCAGGGATTTCTTTGATTTCACCGACCCCTGAAAGGACCTTGAGGACTCCCATGGGTCTCTGAACCAACTTTGAGAACCATTGCCCCAGGGCATGGTACCATCTAGGGAATTCTACTTGGTCTTTGCTGTTGGCAGTTGGGCACTCAACAATGGCGGTGGCCGGATCATATTTAGTAAGGGAACTTTGTTGAGCCCATATATATTAGTTTTCTGTGGCTGCTGTAACAAATTACCACAAAGTTGGTGACTTAACAAATTTATTACAGTTCTGGAGATCAGAAGTACAAAATAGGTCTTGTGGGGCTAAAATCAAGGTGCTGGCAAGGCTGCATTCAATTCTGGAGGGTTTAGGAGAGAATTTCTTGCCTTTTGCTGATTCTTGAGGCTACCTGCGTTCCTTGACTCGTGCCCCCCTTCCATCTTCAAAGCCAGCGATGGCTAGTCAAGTCTTTCTCAAATCACATCACTCTGGCACCGACTTTCCTCCTCTCCTCCATTTAAAGATCCTTTGTGATTCCATTGGACCCACTGGATAATCCAGAATATTCTAAGATCAATTGATTAGCAACCTCGATCCCATCTGCTACCTGAATTCACCCTCTGCCATGTAGCATGTAATATATTCACAGATCCCAAGACATCTCGGGGGAGGAGCATTGTTCTGCCTACCACACCGTGTG